CATAAAGACAGTAGTCACTTGCCTCGTTTCTGAATGAATCAGCCGTTTGAACGAATCTGTTGAATGAAGGACTAAATGACTCACTCATTCAAACAGTCATTTGCCGCCACCTACTGGTTTGGTTTCATATTTGAAACTATCATTGCATTTCCACCAACGTTTCTTATTTGTATGTTTAAAAATATTTTAAGCATTAATCATATAAAATTCGTTATGCATTCTTAATTTTGCAGTGTAAATGCATTTATAGCACCTCAGCTTCATCAAACAGTCTGTGTAAATACATCTAATGCCACTTCAGATGCAGCTTCTGTGTTTGCTGCAGTGGAAAGATGCAGTTTGTTGATACTGATTTCATTTGAATGGTAACAGCTCTACAGTTGCTTATTATTCAAACTGAATTAATTAAAGCAATGTAAGAATTTGATGTGAAAGATGACACGTTTAATAAGGACAGTGAAAAAATTACAATTTAAGACACATAGTGGGAAATGACATCTGTTTTGTTATATACAGCTACTCCTTTTCAGTTAGTTGTTATTTCTCTCTTTTCTAGTCACAGAGCACTTTATTTTGAGAGTTGTTTACATGAGAGAACATCTGTAACTTTGTCCAGATTGGGGGAATTGTAATGTTTAATAATTTTGCATAAAAAAGTATAGATTTTTGTTTGTATATGCTGTCAATTATAGTTTTTAGAAAGAAAATCAGAATTGGCAAAAATCGGTATCGGCAGGTCAAAATCGGAAATCAGAATCGGCCAAGAAAATTGCAATCGGTGCATCTCTAACTGTGATGCTTTCAAAACAGTCTGTTTCAGCGGATTAACTTATGAATCAACCAATCACATGAGTCTATGGGCTGGACTATCTATATGTACAGTACATCGCTAGCATTTGGGAAACCTCTTTGGAAAAGTTGTTGTTATTGTTCTTGTCATTGTCTCTGTTCATGTTTTGTTCTACTAGTGGCTGAGAAATGGCACACTTCACCTTTAAGCTTACTTGTTTACTACAGGGTTCCCACAATCATGGAAATCTTGGTAATATTAGGCCATTTTTAAACTTGATTTTTTTTTTTTTTTGAAAAGTCTCATTTGTTTTTATTTATTTATTTTTTTGCCTATTTACACCACCATTCAATTCCGTTCCATTCAGTCTTTTTTTTTTTTTTTTTTTTGAAATCAATACTTTAAATAAGCAATGATGCTTTAAATTAATTCTGACTGACGCTAAAGACATGACATGTAAGATTCTTTATGTAAGATAATTTTTGGGGAAAATTAATACTTTTATTCTGCAAGGACGCATAATTGATCAAGTGAATGTAAAGACATTTATAAAGTTGCAAAATATTTTGATTTCAAATAAACTTTCTGTTCATCAGAGTCCAGGAAAATGTATCATGATTTCCACAAAAAATATGAATCAGCACAACTGTTTTCAACACTGATAATAATAAATGCTAATAATAAATGACAAATCTTTTCTTGAGCAGCAAATCAGCATATTAGAATGATTTCTGAAGATCATGTGACACTGAAGACTGGAATAATGATCACAAAAATAAATTACATTTGATTACATACAGTATTCTCATAGAAAACAGCTATTTTAAATTGGAAAAATAGTTCACAGTATTTCTGTTTTATTGTATTTTTGATCAAATAAATGCATCCTTGGTGAACAGAAGAGATTTCTTTTAAAAAAGTAAAATAATTAAAGTAAAAATCTTACAGACCCCCCACTTTTGGACGTTAGTATATGCAGTTTCATCAACTAGAAAATGTTGGTGGTTGGATTTCTAACACTTGCAATAAAATAAACATTAACTGAAAAACAATAATTATTATTATTTCATATAGTTGTTTCTCTTTTTTTTAAGTTGAAGTACTAAAATAACTAAAATAAATACAAAATGAAACAAATTAAATCAAACTAAAACTTAATTAAAATCATATAGACAAAAATGACAAACACAATTACTAAAACTTTATTAAAATAAAAAATACAATCCATTTCAAAATAGTAACTAATAGTAAAATATTAACAAACTTTAATAGTATATCAATGATACTAAAATAAAATTGCATGAAAATTCATTGACCAAAACGTGTGGGAAACCTGTTTCAATTGTCTAATTTAGCACTGGAGCAGAGCTAATGTTTTAGTGCCATCCCTCTGTTTCCCACAGGCTCTGAAAGCTCCACAGACGACAGTGAGCGAGAAGACGACGGTGACGCTGATCACGACGAAGAGGATCATCCAGGAGCACGAGCGAGCCTTCGGAAAGCAGGTCTTCCAGAGCGCCCGCTTACGCCACAGCACTGGGAGAGCGGAAGCCCGTCTGAAGCCTTCAAAGCTCCCGCGGTCGCAGACGAGGAGCCGAGTGTCCAGGACAGCCCCCAAACAAAACTAAAACTTAATTAAAATCATATAGACAAAAATGACAAACACAATTACTAAAACTTTATTAAAATAAAAAATACAATCTATTTCAAAATAGTAACTAATAGTAAAATATTAACAAACTTTAATAGTATATCAATGATACTAAAATAAAATTGCATGAAAATTCATTGACCAAAACGTGTGGGAAACCTGTTTCAATTGTCTAATTTAGCACTGGAGCAGAGCTAATGTTTTAGTGCCATCCCTCTGTTTCCCACAGGCTCTGAAAGCTCCACAGACGACAGTGAGCGAGAAGACGACGGTGACGCTGATCACGACGAAGAGGATCATCCAGGAGCACGAGCGAGCCTTCGGAAAGCAGGTCTTCCAGAGCGCCCGCTTACGCCACAGCACTGGGAGAGCGGAAGCCCGTCTGAAGCCTTCAAAGCTCCCGCGGTCGCAGACGAGGAGCCGAGTGTCCAGGACAGCCCCCAAACAGGCAAGAGAAAGGGCCAATTTGAGGTGGAGCTCGAAGGTTCTGGCGGCAGAAGAAAAAAGGCACAAGGTCAAGGCGAACGCGCTTTGAAAAGCCCAGTGAAAGGCAAAACTAGAAGCAGCAGAGGAGGTGATTGGCTGCCAAGTAGTTCGCCCAAAAAGTTAGAAGAACGAGGCCCGGTGGAGGATAGAGGCGCTCAATCGTATAGCAGCTCTGAAGACGAAGCAGATCCTCCAACAGAACCACAAACCAAGGAAGAACCAAGAGGAAATCCCAAAACCAAGGGCTCGCCTCCAAAGAAATACAACGGAGTGAAGGAGAAGAATAAAAGCGGGCGTTCGGGATTCTGGGAGATCCCGGAGAAAAGAGCCAAAATATCCACAGGGATTGAAGAAAGGTCGCCTGGCTGTCGTACCAAAGGCCAGAAGGACGTGTGGTCCAGTATCCAAGTTCAGTGGCCCAAGAAGACCCTAAAGGAGCTGTTTTCGGACTCTGATACCGAGGCAGCCAACTCGCCTCCGCCCACCGTAACGGCTCCGGACGAGCCCTGCATCGAACCCTCCCGGGACGAGGAGATCGCCGAGGACAAGCTGCAGGAGCATCCGAGCAGCGGCACCAATTCGGTCCTCAACACTCCTCCGACTACGCCGGAGTCGCCCGCCGAGGTCCGAGCGCCGTCGCCACCTGCCAGTCCTCCAGCCGTCTCTTCACCGACAGGAGCGCTGATGGAGGAGCAGGCGGGGGGGCGCAGCGAGTCCGACAGCAGCACGATGGAGGTGGAGAGCTTGGGTGGAGAAATCCAGGAGATTCCTCAAGAAGAGGGGGCAGGTTCCCCTTCCAAGGCCTTCGATGGAAACCTGTCGTGCAACAGTAACAGTAACTGTAGCCTCACGCTAAGCAACTGCAGCCAGCAGGAGAGCGAGCAGAAAAATAAAGGTACGTACCGTCGTCTACATCAGTGGTTTCAAACGTTTTATGCCAAGTACCACCTCAGAAAATATTTGGCTCTCCAAGTACCACCATAATGACCAACATTAAAATACAGTAGCGTAGTAGGCCTAACTATTCAGATACAGCTCTGCACAGTTAAAAAAACAAATATTTGTTGTTGTCAGCCACTTTAACATTGTAAATACACCGTTTGAATATTAACACTGTATAATTCACTTAGGGCTGTGAAATTAATCGAAATACAGTTTCGATTTCGGCTTCCAACGATTATACAAATCCAATAATCGAGATAAAACGATTATCGGGCCCCATTCCCATTCCTCCTCTTTCTAGCGGTGCGGTTTCGCTCCTACATAAAAGCCCAAACTTAACGTGCAAATCAGTAAAATCATGAAATGTGATTTTCGCAAAATAAAACGTGCTTGATTTATTAATGGTTATTAGATATGTGCGTGTTCGGTGCAATGCGCTCCGACATGGAGCAGAACACGGACATATAAAGTAAACTTTTAGCTTAAACTGCGTGCCTAAATGGTCAAATACACGTAAACACTCGTAGCCACATACCTTCTATGTAGATATCAGAGAACAATTTAAAATATTGTATTCTGTCACCTTTAATTATTTTCAATTATTTTTGAGGATGGTAAATTTGACATCGTTCTCTCTTCTGACTGCCGTTATCAGTCTCTCTCAATTTTTTCCATTTTTTTTTGAGAGTCATGAAAACACTATCGTGGAGTTTTTCGTTTGCTATTTGAGCAAATGGGAATGCAAAAAATATATTTGTGTATAGTTATATTGTGAAGTTAACCCAACTATGATGACTTCTGCTGCTGAGAAACCTGGAAATGTGAAAAAGTATGCATGTACTTGCGCACCACCCGATTTTTGTAACCGTGCGTACGTTTTCGTGCCGGTCTCACATGCACATTGACTTGGTTTTGCACTAATCAATTGTTCCACAAGGTGGCAACACTGGCCCAGGCCGCTGTTTCACAGTAGAAAAACTAAACGAGCTTTCATGAAGAGGTTTCATGTTTGTGACGATCAGTGTTTATCTCTCCTCTCCTCTGGGTGGCGCTGCAGCCCACAGCAGTGACAGTGAGGACCAGTGTATGAGCGAGAGCACTGCCAAATCCCCCACAACCAAGAGCAGCAGCGAGCTGAAGAGGACGCCCCCCTCAGGCCACAAGTACCACAAACACGGCGATCCGGATCACTCCCACGGCCGGAGCAAGTGGAGCTTCCAGATGAGTAAGTGCCACAGACTGCCACTCATTCTCAATGAGAAGAAATTCATGTTTGATGCTGATTCCCTTTCGCTCCTGCTCCTCCAGCGGACCTGGAAAAGATGAGCAGTCTAGAGCGGATAGCGTTCCTTCAGGAGAAACTGCAGGACATCAGGAATCACTACCTCCTGCTCAAATCTGAGGTGGCCTCCATCGACAGAAGACGCAAGCGCATGAAGAAGAAAGAGAGAGAGAGTGAGTGCTTCCACCTCGTGCCTTTATTAATCACCTTGCGATTTGTGTTGGGCAGTATTGTTTTAGCGTTACTTATACACTGATGTAGTATTTATTACTGTTTTGAATGAGGTTTATTAGTATATTTTCAGTTTTCATTTTAATTTTGGCACAAGTTTTAGTTATTTTATGTAATTCTTTTGTCATTGTTAATTCTATTTATGTATGTATGTATACATTTATTTTTTCTGTTTAGTCTCAATTTATTTGTATTTCTCTGTCAGCTTTAGCAATTTTAGTACTTAGTTATTTCAGTTAGTTTCCAAGCCATCATTTCTAATTTTGTTTCATTTATTCTTACTTTTGTCATTTTTAGTAGTTTTTATGTATGTTTCAATTTAATTTTAATATATTTTATTCCCGCGATTAGGGCTGGGTATCGAGTTCGATACTTTTAGGCACCGACCGAAATGCCTCGATACCATCGAGTATCGAAAAACGTCTTGTCGTTCGGTACCAAATTTCGATACCTAAGCGGTTAATCTCATCAGCGTCAGTGAGCCGATAAGCCTGCAGCACTAGTGTTCGACTAGAAGAGGTGCGGCGCAGATCGATCATCCGCGAGAGCGATTCGAAAGTGTACTGAGCAGTCTGCTCTCTTTAGCTCTCGTGGTACTGTGATACACCGACCGGTCTGCACAGTTGGTCCACGTCAAGTCGAACACACCTACTAGTTTACACCGGTTACACTCAGAGATGTGGCGCACACGTGAGGCTGTAGTCTGAATGCTGGTGTCCCAGCCACCTTAGATGTAAGGCTACATTTACACTGGTGCGTTTGTTTTTAAATGAAAGCGATCCTCGTCATACTGGCGTTTCCACTGCATTTCAAGCCGGCTTTCCACTATCTCCGACAAACGACAGACCGGTCATTCAGTCATTCATTTCCAATGGAGAGTATCACGGGAGCTGCGTGGAGCTCCGATCATATGCAGATGTCCGTTCATACGTTAAAATTTATTTCCTAAAATTGGTATCGAAAAAAGTATCGTTAAATAACCAGTATCGAAGTCAAGGTATCGTTATCGGTGTCGAAATCGAACATTTTTGAACGATACCCAGCCCTACCCATGATAACTTTGGTGATTTTATTTCAGTTAGTTGCCAAGGCAACCTTTCTAATTTTTGGAAATGTTGTTGTGAGCTTTTGTCTAGGGTTGGGTATCGTTTGGGGTTTTTTCAATACCGGTGCCAAATCGATACTTTTAAAACGGTTCCGGTGCCTAAACGGTGCCTGAACCGATACTTATTAAAAAATAGATAAATAAAAATTCCCCAAAAAATGATGGATTAGCCATTAGCACTATAAACACATGATGTCTGTTTCATTCATACTGGATGCCAGAGGGCGCCCTCGCACAGAAAATCCACACATCCAATCACAGAAGTAGAGAGCTCATGCCTCTCCAGGAAATCCCTTATATGGACAAAGACATTGCTATTATATCTGTATCTGAGTAAACAGAACATATATAAACTATTGAATGATAAAACAAAGACAAGAAACACTTGACTGCGACAATATAGTTTATCTGTGTTATTCAAGCCATCTCTGGTATTTTCATTATAATTGAGTATATTTATAATAGGGTGACCATATTTTAGTTTTCCAAAAAAAGGACAGTAGGGGGCGGGGTTCGTGGGCGGGGCTTCACCTAACAGTATTCATAGCAAGGTTGTTTTTTTGTTTTTTTTTGCTTATTTTGTTTTTATAATAAATAAAAAGAAAACAAGTAGAACGAATAGAAAAAGAATAGGGAATGCTAGTGTTAGAGGGTCATTTTTTTTATAAAAATAAAACAATTCAATAGAACAGAAAAAGAACGGATAATGTTAGTGTTAGAAGGTCATTATTTATAAACAATAAAAAGAAAATAAGTAGAAAGAATAGAGAATGCTAGTGTTAGAGGCTCTTTTTTCTTTATAAATAAAACAAACGAGTAGAATAGAAATAGAATAGAGTGCAAATGTTAGAGGGTCAAGTTTTTTAATTAAAAAAAACAAGCAGATATAATTAGAAGTAGCATTAGAATAGAGAGTGCTAGAGTTAGAGGGTCAAATGAAGATGAAAGAGATGTGTTTTCAGCCGTTTCTTCAAAATATTAAGGACTCAGCTGCTTGGATTGAGCTGGGCAGTTTTGTTTAGCTTTAATATTTTTTTCAGTGTTAGTAATTTTAGTACTTTAGTTCATTAGATTTCGGCTTATTTCAATTATTTGCCAAGGTAGTACTTAAAATTTTTCTAATTTTTGTGCTTTTGTCATTTTTATTCATTTATATATATATATATATATATATTTCTTTAATTTATTTTTATGTAAGTTTTAGTCATTTTACTACCTCAACTTTAATTTAAGTTAGTTGCCAAGGCAACATTTCTAATTTTTCTTTGTTTTATTAATGTTGTAATATGCTTTTGTCATTTTTATTAGTTTTTGTGCCTTTTATTTTTCTGTTTTATTCAATTTATTTTAATTTCAGTTTTATTAATTTCAGTACTTAAACTCATTCAGTTAGTCACCAAGGAAACTTATTTAAATGTAAGTTTTCCATGTAATATTTACTGTATATTTAGTTTTATTTCAGATGCTGAAAACTACTTTTAGTAGTTTTAATTGACCATTACAACACTTTTCTTTGACCTGTAAAGTTGTTTACAACATAGTTTTTAATTGTCATTTTACAATTTAGGACAATACCATCGACATTGGTGTTGTTTAAAAACTTGCTTCCTAAACAACATTCAAATTATCAGAATTTTCCAAATCTCTAGTAGTCAGCATTTGAAGTGGATCAAAAAAGTTCACCAAACTTGTCCTAAGACAAGAACACATTTTGGTTTTAGGACAACTTTGATAAAAGGTTTTGATCCACAACTTCAAATGTTGAATAGTGCTTTTGAACAGTTGATTCCATTAAAATTTTGGAATTTCTTTGAATCACTTTTTTCACCCGTCCAGAGTTTGCAAGATTACTTTGAAAAGCTGACTTTAAAAAGACTCCCTAACCTATTTCCCCTGACACTGATGACATTTACATTACATTTTCATTTAGTCATTTACTGTAGCAGACGCTTTTATCCAAAGCGACTAATGGAAGCAATCAAAATCAACAAAAGAGCAATAATATGCAAGTGCTATAACAAGTCTCAGTTAGCTTTTATTATATAATAAAAAGAAAACGGATAGAATAGAAAAAGAATAGTGAAGCTAGTGTTAGTTTTTTTTTTACTAACAAGCAGTTAGTAAATTAATAGAGTGCAAGTCTAAAAGGGGAAAGTCTTCTTTTTTGAGAATAGAATTAGAATAGAGAGTGCTAGAGTTAGAGGGTCAAGCCAACAAATAGTTCAAATAGAATTAGAATAGAGAGTGCTAGAGTTAGGCCAGTGGGGGGTTTGTAGGCAAACATCAATGCTTTGAATTTGTGACGTGCGTTCTTTTCGACTCATTAAAGATTAATCTTGCAGCCGCGTTCTGGATTAATTGTAAAGGTTTAATAGAACTGTCTGAAAGACAGCATTGCAATAGTCCAACCTGCACAGAACAAGAGCTTGAACAAGATGATTGCTCACCCGTACCCCTCTTGTGTCCCAGCAGGCGCAGCGGCGGCCTCGTCCTCGTCTTCATCCTCGCCGTCCTCCAGCTCTCTGACAGCGGCTGTCATGCTGACGCTGGCCGAGCCCACAGTGTCCGGTGCACCGCAGACCTCGGGGCTGTCTGTGGAGTGCAGGTGACAGCAGCGGGACGCCGGCGGCGAGCAGCACAGAGCACTTAACCAGCACCCGGCCCGCCTCGACACTGACGGACACAGCGACGGGACGAAACCAGAGCCACCAGACAGCAACAAGCACTATTTTATATCAACAACTGTTTCCTCGGCAAGCTAATTGCACTCAAGTGCACTTTCTTTCTGAGAGTTGTGGGTGGGTCGGGTTTGACAACAGGACTATTTCTGTTTGTTCGTCCGTTCGTTTTACAAACCAATCCCATTCATTTTTGACCATTATGAATATTTGATTCGGTCTTTGAATATGAATTCATCCACAGTGACTGAACACTGTAATTCACCCTCAGATGCACCGGTCCCGGGCCGGAGCCGTTAAAGAGGCGGCGGAGTTTAGAAACATGGGAATTCACTGACGGTCAGTCGACGCTGCAGTGCCTTACGGTTTGGGCACTCGTGAGGAATGCTGGGAAATGCTCAGTGCTGGCTAACCTGTAATCCAGGGGTAGATGTGTGTTTCATAACAGAGCCCAAACTCACATGAAACAGAATATCTGCTTTTCTTTTTAATCATAACAGGAATCAAGAGTCTGTCCAGGTCATATTTCACCCTAAAATTATATATATATATATATATATATATATATATATATATGCATATATACATATGCATATATTTCTTTGCTCAAAGATAAAAAAGTAAATTACTGAATTTTTTAATTGTGATTTTCCCCCCCCCCAAATATGTGTAATTATTTATTAAATATAACATTTAAAAATACTGTATTACAGTAATAAGAATCACCACTGATTCATAATTTCACAATGAATGCAATTCACATTGATTTCTATAAATATATATATATATAAAATATAATTACTGTATTACAGTAATGAGATTTATGATAATCACTGAGAATGGAAATGATTTAAGCAATTTCACAACAAAAAATAACAGGTTTCGTTATGCTTTTTTAATTGTGAATTTTTTTTCTGTATAATTTGTTAAATATATGATTTTTTTTAAATACTGTATTAGAGTACTGAGAATCACCTCTGACAATAATAATTATACATTTAATAAATAATTATATATAAATTTCACAATGAAAAAAAAACCTTAATGCACTTAAAAAATAGGTTTCATTTTTTAATTGTGAAATGTTTCATATATATATATATATTTATATACATGTTTATTAAATATATAATTAAAATATACTGTATTACAGTAATTTGTAATATTATATAATAAAAAAAGAATTGTATATTTAATAGTTGAATATAAATAGTTTCATTATGCAATTCTTTTACATTGATATTTTTAATACATAATTATTTAATTAAATATATAGTTTTTAAAAATACTGTTACAGTAGCAATTGAGAATTATATATTTAATAAATAATTATATATAAATCATGTCATAATGGAAAACAAAATCTTAAAATGGCCCTAAAAATTGGTTTCATTATGAACGATTTTTTGAATATTATTGTCAAAAAAATGCCATATTGCAGAAATGAGAATCACCGTTGAAAGTGATGAGAATTGTATATTTAATAATTATATATAAATTCATTTCACAATTGAATTTAGTTTAGTTTTAGGGTTAAATTTGACTTGGCTGTGTTTTGGTTCAGATCTCGTCTTATGAATGTCCCAATTTGTCCATTGTTTTATTTGTAATGATTTCAGAAAGCCTTATGAACAGCCCTTCATCTTCACCGTTCCCCGCTCGATCCGCTGTGTTTGTTCATGTGTTTGTCTCGTCGACAGACGGCTGAAGGAGGCGCGAGCGAGTCGAGCTAAGGGCTATTGAGCAGCGCGCTCACGTTTGGAGATGGAGAGAGTTTGCGTTCAGTGTCTCTGGAGGTGAAATGTATTATGATTGTTGACAATTTGAGAATTGATGACTTTTTCTGGCAGCCAGGATTCTAAATGTATTTTACTACTGAAATCTATCCAGACCCTGTGGGGTTTTAATGGTTAATGTGGCAGTATTCAGAAGTGCAATGACAGATGCCGGTCTGTTCTGTACATAGCCTTTGTGTGTTTATGTCTTCCTTATTTCCATTTCCCTCCTCTTTTTCCAATGCTGTGAGTGTAGGCACGTCATTGCCACTGTGGGAAACGGTCCGCTGGTTTGGTGGCTTGTGGGTTAAAGCAATAGTTCACCTAAAAATGAAAATGCTTTCATGTTCTTCCAAAACCATTTGATGATATTTTCCTGTGAAACACAAAAGCAGCTGTTTGCTTTTCCTACAACAACTGTCAGTCTCTAAAAACAACATCATTTCAGTCTGTTTCTCACACAAATCTATCTAAAGAAGCTTCTTTCCACCACGGTATAAAAAAATAAAACCGCTAACTGCGACTTTTTTTTCATCTCGCCATTCTGACTTTTTTTCTCACAATTTTGAGGTTATATAGATTTAGAGAGATTCTCAGAGTTCTGAGAAAATACATCAGGATTGTGAGATGCAAATTTAGAATTCTGAGAAAAAGTCAAAATTGCAGATTTAAACTGAAATTCCAAGAAAGAAAAAAAGGCAGAATTGTGAGATGTAAACTAATAATTCTGAGAATAAAGTCAGAATTGCAAAATGTAAATTTAGAATTCGAGAAAAATACATCAGAATTACAAGACATAAACTTAGAATTCTGAGGGGGAAAAACTCAAAATTGTGAGATGTAAACTCAGAATTCTCAGAGATGTAAGTGTAGAATTCTGAGAAAAATACATTAGAATTACAAGATGTAAACTCTGAATTCTTGAGAAAAATGACAGAATTGTGACATGCAACTCAAAACTCAAAAACTCAAAAGTGCGAGATGACTTAAAAATTGAAATACAGAATTTAAACAAGAATTGCAGAATTGCAAGATGCGAACTCAGATCTGAGGGGGAAAAAAGTCAAAATTGCGAGATGTAAATGTAGAATTCTGAGAAAAATACATCAGAATTGCAAATGTGAACTTGGAATTCTAAGAAAAACGGCATAATTTCAATATGCTGAACTTTAAGCGGAAAAAGTAAAAATTGTGACACAAACACAAAAAATATGGCAGAATCGCTAGATCTAGATCGCTAGACTGGCAATTGCAAGAAAAAAATACTTAAATAGGGAGATATGAGAAATTAGAAAAATGCCAGAATTGCGAGATAAAACATTTTTTATTGTATTATTCAAGCTTCCGTATCTATCTTGATTTTATAAGACTTCTAATATAATAATAATATAATATAATAATATAGCACAACAGCCACTCCCAGGAAAAGCAACAGCATGGTGTGGAATGACATGAGGATGAGTGAATGTTCATTTGGGGTGAATTACTGCTTTAAAAGTAGAACTAGAGTCAAGTTACCATAAAACCAAGAGAAGCTTCGAGAACCAAGGAACACCTTCCTATATTTTGATGTGGCTCTCCTTACTTTGAAAACGTCAGGCTCTCATCTCTAAACCTCGGTGGTTTCATCCTGCGCGGTCTGACCAGGGAAAGGGTTACGATGGTGAAAACATGCGTCGTATGTACTGAAGATCTCCAGAGTTTCCTTTGTATAGACTCCCTCTTGTATCATAACCTGAAGGTCTGTAGCGTTTGGCACTTGTATGTCTTTGTTATACATTTGTATATTGAGAAGTGTGTTTTGAGTCGAGCTATTTAATATCTTGCACTGTTAATACCATGTACGTTTCTGTACAGTTTTACTCTTTTAACTGTAGCGTCTGTGTACATCCCGAAGGTAGAAGCATGTCCATTTTCTTATCCGTTCTTTTGTGTTTCCTTCTTGCATAGAAGTTAGTTTTGATTCAGTTTTTCATACTTTTTCGTTCTCGTCTTTGTGTATTTCCGTTAAATTGTGCTTGTACCAGTTTTTCTTTTTCTTTCTTTTTTTTTATAATGGGGTATTTTTCAATCTGTACATGAACTGTAAAGTTTTATGGATCTTTACAAAAATGTTCAGATGTTTGTAAAGATGAGAGAGAGAGAGAGAGAAAGAGAGAGAGAGTGTGTCAAAGCTTAATGGGAGGTTCTATCATATTTATTAAGCTCATCAGAAGATGGATCGTGTGTAATTTATTGTACAAATGTAAGCAGAAAAGTCTTTGAAATAAATGCCATAGTTTGTGACCTGGAAAGTCCACTTTGGTTCCTATCAGAGATGAGTGATGATAAATGTGTTTCACAATACTAGATCTACTGATCTGCTGGTGTGTGTTGATCTAAAATATCTTCTGAAGAACAGCACAACCTGAGACTGACGATACGGAACAAAGGTTTATATAATTAAAAAAGGTTTAAACATCTAACAATGCAAAGCAAAACAAAATAATGTAATAGAAAACCTCTATATTTGGAACAGAAATGAGCACAATGAATAGTTTATTTTTTACTTCATAGAGTGTGTGTGTGTGTGTATATATATATATATATATATGTATATATATATATATATATATATATATATATATTGGGGCTGTCAGTTTAACGCGTTAACTTAATTAGTTATGAAAAAATAACACGATTAAAATATTTTAACGCACTGGCCCCGCCCCCAGACCTGTACGTCATCTTACACTTCATATAATTAACTGTTCACCATAATATGGTGCAGGACAACAACTCCATAAATGCAGTTATGCCCTAAAAATTCAAGATATTGGGGCAAAAAAATGCCCCTGTATGAGTTTTTGTCTCGTATTTATATCATATGATATCACACCAGTGCTGTTTTTGTCCCGAAAATCACGAGTTTAAATGTGATTTTATACAACAGTTCAGTAAATAAGTTAATATTGTGCAAAACTTAAACACAATATTGTGCGTTTTGTTCAATTTTGCCAACGAAAATATGACCTATAAAGCCATAGCAGAATTGTTGCGCGTCTCCGAGCAACACGGTGGTGTTTAGTTTCAGAATGAATCCGCGTTTTGAGCAAATCAAGTGAATCAATGATTCAGTAGCCCGTTCATAGAGGGAGCCGTTTACTTCATTCCTGAATGAATCCGCGTTTTGAGCGAATCGAGTGAATCAATGATTCAGTAGCCCGTTCATAGAGAGAGCCGTTTACTTCATTCCTGAATGAATCCGCGTTTTGAGCGAATCGAGTGAATCAATGATTCAGTAGCCCCGTTCATAGAGAGAGCCTTTTACTTCATTCCTGAATGAATCCGTGTTTTGAGCGAATCGACTCCTAAAGTCATTTACCGCCACCTGCTGGTAGTTTTAGTTTCTTCTTTAGAGTATGATTTCATTTATTAAAAAAAAAAAACATTAAAGGGATAGTTCACCAAAAATAAATAAATAAATTCTATCATCATTTACTCACCCTCATGTTGTTTCAAACCTGAATGACTTACTTTCTTTTGCACAACATAAATGAAGGTATTTAGAAGACTGTTGGTAACTAAGCTGTCTTGGTCACTAGTGACTTTCATTGCATGAACAAAAAATACTGAGATGTTTCTCGAATTATCTTATGTTCCATACTTTGTTAGGCCATTGTAGCCTCAACATTTAACACAATAATAGCCTTAAATTATCTTTTGTGGGTATTTTCACAGATAAATTTAGTTTGCGATTAATTAATCGCAGCACCCTGTAA